AAAACGAACCGCAAAATAATACTCACGGGGTCCGCACGCAAAAGAAAACACGCCGGAATAATGGCACCGCCTTAATTCGTTTCGGGGAAGAGAATCGGTGAGGCTAGGGACGCGCGAGCCGCGACAATGGTACTAACGAGGGCCCTAAACGGGCCCGAAAAAGAAAGCGTTAATTCCGACCTTTCAAGTGTAAATTCCTAACCGCGCTCTCGTTTTCACCGTCGAGAAATGTAGGCAGGTACGCTCTCCTCTCGTTTCCTTCGTTTCTTCTCTCGTCGTTTCGTGTCTCGAAGATCAAGAATAATATTACTATACACGCTTGTTGTACAGTTGGCTCTGCTTGAAATGAAAAAAGAAAAGAAAAAAAAAAAAAAAAAGAAAAGAAAGGAAGGAAGGAAGGAAGGAAGAAACGTTGCGTGGCCGCTGTTAACCACGATGATTTGTCAGAAGAATATTTCTGATCGAATAATTTTTATTTAGCGGTTTGGAAGAAACCAACAAGAGGGAGATTGTAATTTCTTTTTCCTTTTCTTTTTTGGAGGGGAGGGAAGGGAGGGGATGGGGTGTTGCATTCGGCAGCTGCAGTTTGTCGTTGGAGTTAACGTGCGCGCGATTCGGCCACACTTGCATCGGTGCAATGACGGCTAGTCCAGAGGGTAAGGGGAGAGAGAGAGGGGAGATCGTTGAAGAGGGAGGAAAAGATCAGAGAGGGGAAAGGATCTCTTTGTCCTCACCGAGATCCTTACGGCAGCATTGACCTGCTGCCCCACTGGCGTAGACACCTGTGTCTCGATCATCCAAATATACTTCTTTATTATAGAACTTCTCCTCCGTGAACTTTTCGAATTGATAAGTAAATATAATAAGAAGTAGAAATAAAATAAAGAAAGATACGATATTCAATTTTACAAGTAAACACCTTATCAATATTATCGTATATTCTCGTTTCATTCGCGAGAAAAGAAAGAAAAAAAATGTTGTTCCTTCGAGAAAGAGGAGGAAGATCAACTTTCTCTTTAGAGACTCATCGGATATTTAAGAAATTTTACGTCCGATCGAATGATTAGAAGAAGAATAGGCAAAGGACGTTGGAGAAAGTTAGGGAAAATTCAATTAAACGGACGATTGTTTGGAGTTCCACGCCATTGGATGACTTATTTCTCTCGCGATACGCAAAAGGCCCGTCTGAACTGGCGAACTGGCCCTTGCAGCCCTGCTGTGCTGCGGTTAACTTCTGCCAAGGGGCCCCCAGACCTCGGGCATTGTTGCAGCGCCAGTTTTTGACAGGTACCATAGGATGCGTGGTGCGTGCGCCCACCTACATACGCTCCACGGATTAACGTCGAGAGAATCGAGAATAAGAGGAGGAAAGAGGACGGAGGAGGAAAAGAGTGAGGAATGATCACAGAGTGAAAACAGGTCTTTCGAGGCTCGGCTTCATCGGTATTTTATTATCGACATTGAACCGAGACCGAGAACACACGCTCCGTCCTTGTCGGCTATTAAGCCGGGGATGATAAGTCTCGCGCACATCCGTTCTCCTACCGTTAACAGTCACTTACTTTTGGCCAGATTCTAAGGAAACCTGTTTCGTAAGGATCGTCTCAATATCGAATCTCCAACGAGCGTGTATTCAACCTACTTGCCAGATTATCTATTCGCGCGATTATTCTATTTTCAACGTAGAATATTTTGAAATTAACTCGTGTGCGGTAGAAGATGGAAAGAGGATCGATCGATCTTTACTAAAAGATGGGATAGAATAGAAATGGCCCTTTTAAACAGGCTTCGAGTATAGTTAATCAATTATTCGGTTGATACAGCCTTAAGTACGTTTTCGTTATTTTTCCTATAAAATACTTTGAACGGCTTAAAGAATTCAAAGGAACGAGATAGAAGATCTCGTTGGTATTAGAAGATAAATTTTCGAATGAGAATTGATGGAATGTTTTCTATTAAAGAATTCGGAAGGAGAGAGAGAGAGAAACTCGATCCGAGACAGGAAAATCGAAAGTATGGCGGGCGTGAGATGTACGCACCCCTCTCCGAATATGGTTGAAGAGGGTCAGGTGAAACTCTTTTGACGAGCGGGGGTCCAGCCTCTTCGAAGGGAGCATTTATCCTCCGAACGAGATACACGGGTCGGGATAGCCCTAACCTGACCTAACTCTTGACCATCCCCACGGGTGTGCACGCAAATGACTGGAAAACCTGGCCGAATCGCCTTCCATCCATGCCAAATATAAGAAACGTCATTTTTCGACCCTTCTAAGGGATGATTTTTTCCATTGGATGCAAATGGAAACTCTGCGAACTCTCACCATTGTTCCCAACCTGACGAATTTCCTCCCTCCCATTTCTTGGAAAGTTAAACCCCTGCTTAAAGTGGATTCCAGCTAACCAATCGGTTTTCATTGTTGGAGATCTTGAAATCTCTTAAAATAACGCGGCTGTAATACCTGCCAACCTCCGCTCGCCGATAGATTTCCGCATTTTCGATTCGAGATAACTTCGCGTCCCCTTTACGAGGAAGAATGAGATGTCGATTTATCAAAGCTTCGATAGACGCCTGGCAATTCAATCTTCCTTCGACGAAAGGAAAGTAGCAGAGTATTAATGGATTTTTAGCGATCGATCGATTAGTCACGAAGATTTGAACGGATCCATGGATGAATTCCACTCGTAACGTCTTCCATCAGGAGCCCTGGTAACGCAATCTCGGTAACCAATAGCGTTGTCGCCTCTAACGATCCCCTCTACTCGTGGACCACTCGTAGTAGGCCACGAGTAGCCGAAGCCCAAAAATATCCAAGAAGCGTAAGACTACCACGACTTTCTCCAATACACCTGAACCTGTGTGTACTAAGGCTAGATCGTGGGATAGGTGCAAGTGTGTATATATATATATGTATGTATTCGTAAGGAAAGAGGATAGAAGGCGCAAACCAAGGCGGCATTCCCTTTGTGCTCCGTGGAAGCTAGCTGGTTTCGGCTGGATGATGCGGTTCGATTCACAATGCCACCGCTAATGTCCACTTACGGCCTCCCTCACTGCTCCTCCGCAACTGTCGGGGTGTTTTAGTGCTTTACGGCCGCCATAATACCGTATTTCTCGAATGCCAGGTACAGAAGACCCTCGAAGAGGGTTTCATGATTTTCAACGTCTAGACTCCATTGCAATTATTTATAGGCATTACGTAGAAGGTAATCTCTTTCTTCGAGAACGTTTCCAAGATTTCCAAGGTATTGTCCTCTTAATTTTTCCAACGATTTAATTCATAAGTCAAAGAGGAAAATATATTTCGCGCAGCGAACAAGAATGGAATATTTCAACTTTGAAAAGAAACTTAGAAAACGATTTCTCGATAACTTTGTTTCTTCCTCGCGATACGTTAGGAGCGGATAATTTCTGAGGGGAGGGTGTGATATACTCGACTCCTCAATGGCAACAAGCTGAGATGCATAATGCAACGTGTATCTTCATTACCGCCCGCAGAAGGAGATAATTCGAGATGCAATTATCGAGAGGTCGGGCGTGGAAAAAAGTGGCTAAGCGAAAACATCGATGCATTGAATCGCATAATGAAGCTGCTTCGATCCGAGTTTCCGGTGATCGCCGCGAAACACGCGATGGGTGGTCTCTCATTACTGCGGTTCCTTCAATGATTTCTTAGCACATTCGGCCAGGAACATATGGCTTCTGACCGTTGAATCGAGGATGACTGGCCTCACAGAGGGCAGTATTGTGGAGGAGCAGGAGTGATTTTTCATGGGAACCGTGCCCATAAAAACTCCGAACCCTCTCCCCTGCCTCGTACAACCACCTTTACACAACTCTTCGTCGAATCAATTGCAATTAAAAACCAGTTACAAAATAGAAAAGAAGAAACAAACAAATAAATCTATCAGCACGTATCAGCGTTACGGATCATCATAAAATGGAGCAGTTAATTTTTTTTAAATCCCGGATCATCTCCACCCCGTATCCCCATCTGGGGATCGAAACGATATCAAACGATTATTTTTCACTTTAAACCGTACTCGATCATTACCGAATTACAAGCTCCATCACGCGTAAACCAACTACTATCGTCGAAACGCCAGTCATTTGCGCGTTAATAAACTACCGAGGGTAACGACGGTAAAAACACCTTTACCCGATAATTCCAAGGAACGTGATGACCGGCTCGACCGCAAATCGCGAGAGCCGCAGAAATCGAATCGTTCGAATAAAACGAGTAATTGTCGAGGGAAGGAAGGAAACGATACGGGTGGATAGTGGACGTGGAAGAAATGGTGGAGGAGAGGGGGGAGAGGGGGAGGTAATTATCATTTCTTGTACAAGCCGCCGGTATGGGTATATAGTCACGGATATAGGCGGTTTTGCTACATTCGGGCCCTCATTTCGGCGTGGTTCCTCTCGTCCTCTCTCTCTTTCTCTCTCTGTCCCTCTCTCCCTCCTTGCTCGCTCCTCCATCCTCCTCTCCCCAATATTTTCTGCCTCCTTTCCTCGACCATATATATATATATATATATATATACCTACCGCTTCGTTCTTTCTTCTTC